CACTATTAATCTATTTATTATAATAATAAATTCAAAAAATTTTATAATGAAAATGTTTAGATATCAATATCTCTTAAACAAAGCGTTTACGGACATACCTCCAAAAAAAAAATGTTTTCTTGTTTTGAGATCTTAAATTCATATTTTAAGTTAGAACATTTAACCCTGAAACACTTTGTATAATTTACCACGCGGCAACACCTTACAGAAAGAATGATAACTTTTTTAAATTAGATTACGCTATTCATTGTACGCGATATATTTCCGCGCTGTGGCAATATCGGTTATTCGGATACAAACTAAAGGAAACATACGTCTTTACGAGGTAACGAAACGGTAAGCTTCCAGCTTTTGCTTGGGAGTTGTGGAAAACCACGAGTCGCGCGACACACAACGACCTACATCGTCGGATATGCACGTTGTTGCTTGCAGAGCGAATGAGGATACGCGTTGTGACAATAGGGATGCGCCGCTGCTTAATGCCCGTTAGCGCCAGCTGTATTCCATTGATAAAGATCCCCAAGAGGCCGCACGGATAGTGTCCAAATCGTTATAATGTTCCAGATTGTCGGTTCCAAACGCGACGCTCTCACGTTTTATTAATCTTATTCCGCGACGTCATTAATCCATTCGCTACCGAATGCAAAATAATTTAAGGACATTTTGAAATATTCTAACAGAAAAATAATAATTCTGGCTTAACGAAATAATATTAACTACTTTAATCTTTATCTTATGTACATATATGTGGTTAAAGAATAAAAATTATAAGATCGAAATAAGAAATAAATTTGCTTGGCTATTCATAAACGAATACTCTTTTTATTATATTAAGTGACATTTGAGCACGCATGTAAAAAAATTCAAACATTTTGTTGAAAGTATACATTTTTTAGGAAATACAACTTTTATAAAAATACTATATCAACTATACTATGAATTTAAAAAAAAAACTACCTAAATAAATTTTTATAAAGTCCAATTTTTTTCTGTATCGGTCACATACTTCTGTCGGAAAATTATTTTTGACATTCTCTCCAATATTGCACCCAATTTTATCCATTCGTACCGTTATAATAAAAATACTTTGCAACAATTTGCATTTTTAAGATTTAAATTTTTATAATGTCGCGAAATTATAAAAATTTCAGAATCACTCATGTTAAAATACCCTTTGAATCGCCCTACAAACATTTTTTTTTTTTTTTTTTGCTTGACAAAGTATAAAAAAATATTCTAAACTAAAATTCGATATATCAGATTCATGATTACATTCCATTTCTGTCGTGTTATTTTCAGTAACAGATTCTCTTCTCTCGATCAAAAAAATTTTAAGTCTATTTTTGTATGAAAATATCGAAAAGCTAATATTTTTAGATAATTAGAAATGATATATTTTATTAGCTACGAAAACATTTTTATAGTTTGAAGTATTAAATTATCGCGAATCAGCTAAAATATTATTTAAATCTTTTTTAACAAGCTTGAAAGAGGTCTTATCTCTATATTTTTATAAATATTATAGTATCTTAATCCATTTGCTTAATATATAATAATTATATCAATTATTAATATATAATAATTATTTTGATCTTGATTTCGTATTATTTTGACGATGGCGCATTTAGAATCTCCTTTAATATTGCACGGAAGCAAGAAGGAGCATTTACCAATTGATTTCGTCCGCAAATAACTTAATCGCAGTATCAAAAACAATTTCATATTACATACTTCAACGACTGCACGATCGATCGCGAAGACGAAAAACTAAAATGGAACGATTTAGAACGCAAACACGTATTGGGAAGAACAAGGCAAGAAATATTTCACGGTAAGATCAAAGACCACAAAGCCTGTCGTCGAGACAGTTCATGCAAAGACAGACACACGCGCATACTGGCAACGGTTATCTTACGTGACCTCTCGCCCTGCCTCACCAGTCCTTCCTCGGATGTGCAAGAGCCCGATTTCCCCGGGGAATACAGAAACCAATTTCTAGGCTGTGCTACTGCATGCATCGACTAGGTATGCGTTAGGTAGGTAGGAAGGAAGGAAGGAAGGCTCAGAGATGCGCTCGAGTGTTGCATCCTAGTACGTCGTTGAAGACGAAGCGCTCTCGGTAACGCTCGATCGAGTTGCTCGCGCGTCTCGATGTGCGTGCATCGAGATGTTCGCGCGCCGATCGGTTCGCGGCAGATGTTTCCCAGCGAATTCATCGCGGCTCGGTATTTGAATGAACGGAAACGGTGTAAAGGAGAGGAAATTCGGGAATCGTATTAAGGCCGGAGAGAACTGCTTTAAAATAGAAGCGGATTTATAGATATAGGCGCGCGGAAGCAGAACTAGATACGAGTGAAGAGAATCGAATTCCGACAAAAAAATATATATTTTATGCTCTAGTTTTATGATTTGAAAAGACTTTCATAAATTTTACTGCGAACGAGGTCTCTCTCTATTAAATATTAATTGTATCTGTAAACTTGATTGTGTGTACTGTATATTGAATATATACGCATGATATTAGTATTAAATGTGTGTTAACGAATTATGAAGCAAACACTGTTAATTGAATCAATTAATGTTGTTGGTATTTGTTGAGTACATAATATGAAATTGTTTTTGATAACATTCCATTTATTGCAAAATAAGGTAATATAACGCGAAAATAGTTTCGGTAAATTTATAAAGATAAGAATCCATAGACACGTATATTGATGTAGCCGAATATAAAGGATGAAAGAGAAGCTGTACACATATATACATATATCGCTATTCTGTCAATAGTCGAAGAAGTCTAAAAGTTTCAAACTATTTGCGAGAAGCTCTGAATGGATATGACGAACGATGAAACGAACGGTGGCGTTGATATATAGATATACAGAAATCGCGGCGACATGATTTAAAGCGGAATGCCATACTAATGCGAAAAAAAGAATAATCGCTTTTCAGAAAGCAGACGATATAGAAAGAAAATCTTAAAATAAATTATTTTCTGCACAAACGTATTTCTCCGTTTTATTCAAAAACTTGCACGTTGAATTACTTATCAATAATATAATTAGTCTTTTCTTTTTTTGCAAAATTATCTAAAACGTGAGAAAACATATTGTAAAATAAGAGATCTATAAATACTACAGCATATTACAATTTTTAATACAAGATTGTTTTCAAATATTCAGCGTATATGCAACTTTTTTGGAATATTTATATTTTTTTAAATATATATACTAATTATTAATAATTACTATTTTTGTCTTCATACACGCATATACATACTACATTCTTTAGAAAATCAAAACGTTTTTTTACCCAATAAGAGAACATTTTCATTTTCGTTTTTTTGCGTGTCTGAAAATCAATTTTACGTTTGAAAGGATTCAAATCACAGAGGGAGCATCGGAAACTCGTGCATTTAAGAATAAAATTTACACTTACGATTCTATCGGCGAGATTCGATTTACGCTGAAGCAATCGTGAATCACGTGCCATTGACGATTGTTCGCGCAACAATCATTCGCTTCTAATCAATGGCAATGTAAACGTGCAGACAGCAATGTCGGGCCGGCCGCGAGGCTCTCAATTTCGCAACGTTATTCCAACAATCTAATAGGGAAATTTCGATTATTATGCGCATGCAGCCTAGTTGGAAACCTCGAAATATTTATAGGGTGAGTACGGACTTGGAGCATTCCCTGATTGCACCGCGAATATCTTTCCCGATACTCGGAATTCCCCTCTCAAATCATAAGATGCCAAGAATAATATTTATGCAACTTCATTAAAATAATTCATTATAAAACTTCATTAAAATTAATTCTCATTATTTAATATAATGCGGTCACTTATATGAATCCTCGTCGGATCTAGACGGAAGGAGGTATCACGATGAGGCCAGGACTCCCAGGACAGAAAGGTGAACCAGGCATCTCAGGAAGTCCTGGCCCTAAAGGCGAGGCTGGAATACCAGGGTCTAAGGGTATCAAGGGCGAGCCAGGGCACAAAGGTGCCAAGGGTGACCATGGGAAGGATGGTCCCAGAGGAATTCAAGGTTTCAAGGGTGAACCAGGCGTAGCCGGTGCACCCGGTCTGCCTGGTGCACCTGGCGAGAATGGACGACCGGCGGAGAAGGGCGCTAAGGGCGACACAGGACCCGAAGGCAAACCAGGACCTCCGGGACCACCCGGTCCACATGGTGGACTACCTAACGGTCCCGGTGGGATAAACGTAGGGGATCTTGGTGAGCAATCTTAACGACTTTTCCTCAAAAATATTTCTTTTTCATGCACAATAATAAATACAATTTAATATTACATTATTTATTTATTTATTATTTCTTCTGTTCGTCGGATTTTTCTTTTATATGTAATTTCTTTTATATATAAAACATTACCCAATTGTTTTATATTAATTATTATTTTATTAATCTTCACCAGCTACGATAAAGTCAATTTGCCATTAATAAGACACTAAATAAAATTACCTAAATATATAGTGCTATAATTCGTGTAAAAAAAGATATTCTATTTTTTTATTTTTATTTCTATTATTTATCTTTAATTATATTTTAATAAAGGAGATACAAATTTTTAAAGACGATAGAAAGACCTAAAAATCTAAAAGAATTTCGATTTTTCTACTTTCTCTAATATTTTATACAATATCAGAGACATATATGTATTTGTATGTGATTCTCTACCGTAACAACTAAAGATTATAGGCGTTATTAATAATGTTTTTTTTACGATGAAGAAATTTAATATCTATTGTGTCAAGATAAAGGATGACAATATATAATGTTGGAAATGTTATTTAATTAAGGATTCGGCACAAAGGGCGACAAAGGAGATACTGGAGCGCGCGGGTATAAAGGAGATAAGGGCACGAAGGGCGAGAAAGGCGATAAGGGTGATGCCGGTCCAGCTGGTACTCCTGGAATAAATGGTATTCAAGGGCCTCAAGGAGATAAAGGCGAACCTGGCAAAGACGGGATATCAGGATTACCCGGTATACCTGGCTCTAAGGGCGAGAGAGGCGAAAGAGGTCCTCCTGGAGCCACTACCATTGCCAATTCCGGCGACTATATCACTATCAAAGGCGAGAAAGGCGCCGAAGGAAAACGAGGCAGGAGAGGACGACCTGGACCGCCCGGTCCTGTGGGTCCTCCCGGGAAACCAGGAACTATGGGAGAGATCGGTCTACCAGGATGGATGGTACGCATATCTCAATTTATATTCCCAGACAGCACAAGGATGTCCTTAGGACGTCCAAAGGGCATCCAGGACATACATGTAGGATATCCTGAGGATATCCTATTTTAATCCTCGGATCTCCTCTGGATGTCCTGAGGAAGAGTAAATAATAGCCGTACACTAGCCTCTGGATAATCCAGGGAGATCCTGTGGAACATCTTAAGGATTTCTATAGGATATGTTAGGGATATTTTTCACACGTTAAAAAGAACAAATTCTAAAATTTAAATATAAATTAAGATTGCGTTCTATTATTTACTGCCAATACTAAAAATCTAATACTAAAAATAGTTCACGTTCTTTAATATTTGAGGTTTTCGTGCTGTACATGAATATTTTAGGTTTGGCTTCCGGGTTTGAGTCGTGTAATAATTTCAAAACAATCCAATATCTGAATTCCCTATGTTGGGATTGCATCAGAAATTGAACTGATAAAAAATAATTATATTTTTAATTTCCTGTTAGTTGCTCTTTGCAAGCTTTATATAATTCTCATGACCAAATCTCAAATACGAGTTTGCGCGTCGCATAGCGGTAAACAAACAAACTAGCGGTTGAATACTATTTTTTGTAAAGTTTTTGGAATGTTGCGCATAGTAACATTTCTCATGAAATATTAAATAAACAATAATTTTGAATATGTGAAAATGTGCGCATCAAATTCAATTATTAATATTAAACGAAATTAATGTTAACAATTAATTGCACATGTATATATCCTCTGGAAATCCAAAGGACATCCAATATAATAGACAGGGCAGATATCCTACAGACATCCAGGGGTTATCCAGGGGACATTTATAGGACATTAATACTTATTACAATACTTAAAATTTCTAAATTATATTAAATAGCCTACATAACCGAAAGTAATCATGTATGCATATTAAATTTTCATAAAATATATTTATAATAATATCTTAAAACATCCTACAAATATCCTGAACCATCCTGGACATATTCAGGATGAACCTGAGGACATTTTGTGCTGTCTGGGTCACTATGTAGAAAAAGCAAAATCTCGCAAGCTTACAAATATATGTTTAATACTACAAACACAATAATGAGATATTAAAACAGTACCCATACAGCACAGATCATTGCAATTATATTGCAGCAACATTGCAATGTTGCAAATTGCAATGCAACATTACAAAGACATTGCAGAAATATAGAGCCACAAAGTACCAGCACACTTGTAGCAACATGACATTAATATTTCGGAAATATTGCAAAATTCAATTTTTATATAATTTTAATAATAAAATATTATAATAAAATAATTTTTTGCAATATTTCTACATGAAAGATGTTAACGATAAACAATACTAAATGGTTCATTTTATTAAAACATTTTTCTTAAATTGGCTTATATTGCTGCACTGTATGCTTTGCGCAGCACATGTACGCGTTCGCAATTGTGTGCGTGTGTAGTAGGCGCCGGTCTTGCTGCACATATCTGTGATTGTCGTGTATTTCGTGATTAACATTTTTTATTGTTGCGTACGAGAAAAGGTAAGAACTTTTTGATAATATTATGTTTTATTATAGCAACCTATATATATTATGTATTAATTAATCATAATAGAATAGCATGTCCTAAGGTTAATAACCTAGGTTAATAACCTTAAAATTATTGAGATCGCAAAAGTAAAAATTATATTTATCTATGATATATGTTCGTATATTTTTTATGTGGATATTTTTTGCTTTCTCTAATTTTCTATTTTGCTGTAGATATGAACTTTAAAATATTTGATAAAAATATTTATGTATATTTGCAGTATGTATATTTTTATGCAAATATGAATTTTAACTCCTATTTTATTTTTACAGACATTTAACAAAGGAAAACAATAATGGACAAAATTCAATAAATTATTAATGGTAATAAAAGCGCCGCGTAAAGCTGAACCATTTTTATATATATCTCTAATATAAAAAAAAATATATTTTTATTTCGTGAACATGTTAAGTGCAATAATATGTTATGTGCAATGTTATGTTATTTATAACGTTAACATAAGTACAAATAAAGACATTTAATTACAATGTATCGTCAATAATTACACATTTATATACCCAAAAATAAATATATATACATCATTGCAAATTCATTACATTGCAATATTGCTACAATATTTTGATGCAATATTCCTAAAAGCGGACATTTTATCATTGCTGCAATTCCACAGCAATGATACAGCAACATTTTGCAGTGAATTTGCAAAGTTGCAATATTGCGGTGAAAGATTGCTACAATATGTATGCAATCTTTGTGTGCTGTATGGGATCCAATCGAATTCGCTATTAGCAAATGATAATAAATTCGCGAATCTCTGCAGTGTAAATAGTCGAGTAAGAGCACATAAAAGCGTCTCGACGGAGACGCGCAGTATAGGAACGCAACGGCAGAGAAAGGTTTCGTTTGCGCAGACACGCGCGCGAAATTTGCGGGAGAGTGAATTTTTATCGCGACGTCGTAACGAGCGATGACATATCGGATGCGGCATTAGATTGCGCGCGATAATGTTCGGCGGTTATGTGTCTCTTTCGTGCGTTTTCCGAGCGATAAAGTCAAGCGCGAGACTCGCTCGCGAGAATCCTCCGACGTGACGGAGATAAAAGCGCGATCGTGCCGGGCGATTGTGACCTCCGGAGCGTTTCCAAATTTCAGAAACAACCTTGGATACACGATGTTAAAGTTTTTCGGTCGGCTGACTCAGAGTGCCGTCCTCGGAATCGAAGAACGTGACACAATCGTCTTCTCGGAGCTCGTCGCGCGATCAGGACTGACTCGAGACAAATCCGGGGCCCTGACTTTACGGAACGATCGGCACATTTTAAAGAAAGGAGAGACGTAGGGAATAGAGTGAAGAAATCGGGTCAGGGCTGTTCTTTTTCCAAATCCGAGCTATGCATGCTTCGATAGTTTTTTTTTTTTTGATAAAAATACAGATAGTAGATTAGTTCAAGAATAATATTTTTTATAGCGAAGGCGTTATCAGCTTATAAATGTAAAAAAAAAGTGATTAATATAAACTTTAATGCAACTATCTTAGACAGAAATTTCAAAAATCATTAGACATACGTTTTATTAATCTCTTTTTAATTATCTATATGTATACGTTTTACTATATATTTTTCAATTTCTTCAAGACTGCCGCATAAACTTTAATTACGGACGTTAATGATTCGCATTAATTAACGAGCGTGACGTATATGTCAGCAATATCGAATTAAAATTCGATTTTAGAATAACATCGTCTGAAAGATTGTCTAAATGGCCGCTCGGAGAGACGCAGCGACGTTCCGCTTCTGTACGCGCGTGTTCATCACGTGACGTCGCTCGAACATCGTCGAGGAGAGATAACTCTCGGACAGATTCGGGGCAGCTCGATCGCACCTCAGTGTTGTTGTTCGGGCCGGGATTTTTCGCGCATGCGTGGCAAACGCGGTACCAGTACAGTGCTTAGTTGGATAAAAAGGAGTACCATTAATCACCCGCGCAAAAATATCTAATAATTGTTCAAAATGTATGAGAAAAATATTAAATATTTAAATAAATAAATATATATATATATATTATAAATAAATTCTAAGCTGAAAAAGGGGAAAGAGGGTAATAAAATAATTAATTAAAAACACATTTTTATGCAAACGAAAATAAAATATTTTATTTTTGGCAGAATCTCATAGAATACCAACATTTGTTGCACGGGTAAGGAAAACTGCCAAAAACCTCACCAGTATTCATACAAAAATACAAAAAATAAAAATATTTATTTATAAAAATGAACATAAATAAAATTTATCAAATATAAAAACATTATCTTAAAATTATCCTCATGCAGCCATGCATTTTGAAAGTCTCTAACTTTCGGTCGTTTAATTGCTCCTTTTCTTTGCGCATGCATTATTTATAAATATACTTATCTACTCACCTTAACCTAGCCTGTCCTTCTTGCCGGGCCCGCCAAGACTTTCGCGCCCAAACACTACTACTCC